TGGAGCCCTCCACTACGGCGCTTCTCATAATCAAATGGTGGTTTTGGAACGTTAAACCCCACAAATCAACCAATCAATCTTCTCTGACCCACTCTGCTCTCTTGCGGTCTCGCAAGGTTACGCCTATCAGTTTTTCTTGTTGCTCCCAGCGTCGTCCTAAATTTAAGCTGGACCCTCTTTGTAAGGCTCCAGGTTTCTGCTCTGTAGGTAACTATCGGCAAGATGCAGTTTTTGTATACCTGCCTCTTGATAGTTACTGGCAGATTGTCAATCATGGCTTCAGAATACCCGCTGAATGTAATCTATCCCGTCCTTAATCTTCTAATTATTTCACTCGCGTGTGGCGGCTCCGTGGATACTACGTGTCCTAAGTAGACGTATTCTTTTACAACTTCCAGCGTCTCTGCACCTATCGGAAATCGCTGTTTTCTGCCGACACTGTTGCACATTACTTTAGTTTTATGCATACTGATTTTGAGACCTACTTTTGCACTTCGGGTGTACAGTTTAGTAATCCTGAGCTGTATTTAGTCCGCTCAGTTATTTATCAAAGCAATATCAAATATCTATTATACCATTAATAATGAGAACTGGGAGATAATGGAGGGAAGAAAAGTATAGGGGGTAATATTAGAAGTAATTGTAATGTAACTGTCAAGAAAGAATAGTGGACAAGAAGACGACTTGCGGGAGTTGCCCGACCCGCGACCTTCGAATAATGCGTCCAATGCCCTACCAACTAAGCTACCAGGGTGGCTACCGCCTCTTCCGCATTAGAGATATATACATGTAGTTAAACGTCGGAGTGTCCGTCAGCATCACCTGTTGCCATTGGGGGGATTATGGGACATTACGGCCTTTATTACAGCTTTGTAATGGCGCCGACCGAATATGCAGAAATAGACTAGTGGTATGAAGCCTCCATAAAAGCCCTGCTACTTTGACCGATACTTCTCATCATTAATCTAGAACTTTATAGCTAGAATTAACGGGCGAGCCATGGATAGACAGATGGACCAATAAACGAATTACGGATGGATGACCGGACAGATGGACCATGGTTGTACGGACCGCCGATGAACGGACAGGCTCATGGACTTACAGACGGAATAGCTAGGGAGCGATCTCATATTATTCATGCGTCAGTGTACTAGCCACAGGTCACTCCACGAGCTTCCAAGAGTTCTCTGGCGCACCAGCTGTGCGCCGTGTGAGGTCACTGCTGTGCGTGCTGGCGCAGAGCTGCGCACTGTAAGCCACACCAAACTGCTCAGCCTCGGCCAGTGAAGCTTACGCGACAAATGAACTTTCAGCGGCGAAAAACGAAGGTGTCACAAAAAATGGGCAAACGCCACTGCTCTCGCCAGTAGAATAAAGTCGAAGAAATATGTGTGGCCTAGAGCTCACACTCTAATGGTAGAACAACTAAATCATATTCTTCCCATGGCGCCCATTGTTTACGACCGTCGAACTGTTTATTGGTGCATACATTTGTAAAAGTATCCCTACCACAATTAGTGTCACCCAAACTTGACGCAGCCTGCAAGGAAACAATTCTATCGGAGGCTTACCAGTCGTCATATCAATGTCCATGCACCATGTGTACATGTGTAATTATTTCGCTCGGTTTATTTTCTCACATGATTGTATTTGAACATGTGAATCTGTATAAAATTCTCTGTATAAACGCTGTTTCCGTTAGTAAGCAGCAATATGCCTTGTGTGTAACGAGTCCTTAATTAGCCATAAAAACTCCGGCTCGGGTGTTTCTGCAAAATGTTTTGATAAATAATTTTATTGAAAGTAAAGCATTCTGCGTCCATTTTTGAAGAAGCAAATGCTACACATGATTGAAACTTTCCGGGCACATATTTTGGTATTTCATGGTAGGGCGTATAATTGCTGCAACTTGGTGTCACGCAAAAAATAGTTTTCGCTGTTCATTCACTTGCACAAAATGTCAAGGTTGCTCAGTTTTTTGTAGTAGTAAATTACGCTGCATGAAACCAATATTTTCCGTTTCAAACGTTTCGCTAGTACTCACTCGGCTTCGAAGAGCCTTTTTTTGTCCGCTCCAATGCGAGACATGATATGTTGGTGCTGATGTCCTTGCTATAAGCAATACCAAAAGTTTCATAATTGGGTCCAGTGCATTTACGTAGAAACAGCGCATGAAAACAGGGGACCATTTAGACAATGAAGTGTAAGGCTGCCTAATCGCAGAAATATATTTATTTTTCCAGCCTATTTCTGCGTGTTATATTTCTGACGTGTTGTTCTTATGTTTTTTTTTAATTTTATCACCCCCCCCCTTCCGTCTTTTTTTCACTTGCACTGCGCTCGAATACTTTGAGCGTTTGTGCAAACATACCTTGTTGGAAGTCAATGCTGGTGGCTTCGTCCTCCATTATGGTTCTTGTGTCTTTTTGCTCAGTATTTATGCCCAGTCTGCCAGAGTAACTTGCTCAAGCAACCACTTTAGCCGATTACAGAGCTAAGTATACCAAAACAGATCAAATAAATATCCTTTAAAATAAAGCAAGCATTCAAAAGGAAAGCAGTGCACTCATCACCAGAACCACGCACTCACGTTGAAAAGCATGATCGCGTCATTTATCCGCTCAGAAAAGCCAACTTACCAGGTCTTTTTTTTTGTGAGTGCAGCCAATTTAGGAAAGCCTTGCTATTCGAGGTGGCGTTTAATACGGAAGTGGAAAAGAATTTTGTTGCATCCAAAATAAACTTTTTTCTGGATGTAATCAGTATACATGGTCAAAAAACATGGGATTAGGTTTGCACGGAGATGATCGTGCAAACGTGCCTAAAACGCACGTGCAAACAACTACGCTACTCTATTTATTAATATAAATTGACAACTTACAATTGTGTGTTGGTGCATGTACTTTTGCTTCTCTGCCAGAATGAAATTGTATATCGATGTATAAAACACAAAAGAACTTTAGTCACAACAAAAAAAAAGACTGTGTTGATTTCCTTTTCAAAACGTTCAATCAACTTCAGTTCACGGCATACACACGCTGGCTCGCCTTTCACGATTGAGGTTACGAAATACCTCAACAAAGCACTTACGGTGTCCGGATGCTAAAACTTGCTTCTAGTATAGGGCCAATTTAGGGAACAAAAACGGCATTACAACTGAGCATAGCTTTCACTATTTCTGGATATTCTGATTACTGTTATCACCTATGCATACCCAGTGTGATGTTTAATGAGGAATAAAAAAATATTTCCGCATGCACAACGGAAATATTCTGTAAAAAGAATTGCGGAGGAACTCTTGTAACCTACAGGAGAAACGATCTTGCAAACGTAAATATTCGATTATAAAGAACACTTACCGGTAAATTTCAGAAAACAGTAGCACTCCTCAATGTGAGCCACTGATGCGGTCTGACAAGCTCGGTCTTTTATTTTGTTTGCCAATTTTTCGAAGAGGACTTGCCTCGCTCTTTACCTTCTTTCGGTAAAAGTTTCATAGGGATTTGGGTTGAACTTGCGACCCTAGGGTGCACGCACGGGTCTGCAGAGATGTCAGACCATTTGCGACTGCCCTTAATAAGACAGTATTAGGTTAATATTGAGGAATGACATTTATTTACTAAAATATACACTCATAGTTTATTACAAGACGGACAACACACAAAGAACACTGCTAAAAGTGGCGCCTTCTGCTGAAAACGTAAAGTTTGTAACAATGATTGGTGCCCACTGCTGCAAAGTTCCTGCTAAAACAGTTGTATTCGCTGTGCGAGGCTGACTAGATAACGTTCCTATACAGTTTGCTCAAGGCAACTGGTTTGTTCACAAAACGAAAGTCACACACACTGTGACGCGGTAGTAATTGCCTTGGTACTTTTATGGCGATGACCACTAACCAAGTAACGGGGCTTTTATCTTTCATTTTGGTTATGTAAGAAAATGTTCAGGAATTTTATTCAGGCTAAACATTTAAAAGCTTGACTAACGCAAAAAACTTCTCGACTTTTTCACGAAGACTGACTCCTCTTGTAAGAGACCAGCGTGGTAACAGTGTCACTACTTGGCTTATGTTCAGACAATGAAAAGATACATAAGAACGAATATATAACCCGAGAATCTCATCGCGAATCTCAGCAACAACTTCTTTTTACCTCTATCTGAATGAACCCATTTGATTATTCTTTGGGCATCTACACCATGAAATAGTTTCGTATGCTATGCATTCCTCGGCCACTTGCAAGGAAGCTTACAAACTCCATTGAAAAAGCAGCGAATACAGAATAGTTCATACTACTGGCATTTACCTGTCTTTAATACAACGCACACGGACACAGCCATGGCGAGTGATGTTCACCTACTAGAGCAACAGTAAGCGTGCAGGTAATTTCGAAGATCTGGCTGGTGTCTACTTATCTGCACTGCCCGTAAGAAGAACCCTACGTTTGGGTAGCGTTGCAGCACTGAATATTTGCCATAAACGTGACGTTTACTATAAATATAGATGTTTATACACTGTGAAAAAGTAAGATTTACAGCAAACTTCTATGTCACCTGGAACCAATTTAGTGTCATTCATACTTGAAGATGGTGAGCACTCATATTCTCCGCATCGTGTTTTCATTCCTCTCCACTCGGAGAATGCACTTACAAGAGTATAAAATCATGTCACATACCACGAATCGTGTGACATTCATATACAAGACTTGTGGCAGCAGAAAACATGTGATGCAAAACATGTGACAGCACAAAACTCTTCGGCAGCTTGTTTAGAGTTCTGTCAGTAGTGCGGAACATTACCTCGGCACAAATCGTTTTCAGACATGCGGAAAAACCAAAGAAAGAGCTCCGGAAAAACAGGTCTCCACACCCGTTTTATTGCACTAGAGCGTTTTCCTTCAGTAAATTACTTATAAGGCCACAAAATGTTATGCTATTTTTTTATTTCATTTCTTTCGTGTTTTCACGACTGCTTCCTGGTTTTTCAAGGTCCTCGTCAGGTGTCATGTACAACAAGTACTCAACAATCTTTGCACTGTGTATTACTGCCTGATATCTGTGGATAACGTTACTTGAACGTGGCTTTAACCGCTGTAGAACCAAAACAAATAATATTTTCGAAGCAATATCGTTAAGGTACCTCTATGCAATTCGTCAATGTCACGTACACACATATGGGATGACATACGTGATAGAGTATACAAATGAAGCCAATAATAGTACACTGTCGTTCCACGTCAATATCCTTTCCGTCATCGCCACCTCATGCATCAAAAGCGGTGGGACCCTCGCACTATTTCCAGTCACAACGTCACTTTGGAGAAGATATAAATTGCTTGAACGCCGCAGTAGCACCCTTTTCAAGCACTCTATGTATACGCTGGTAACAGTCAGACAAGCACCAGTGATCGCGTGCTAGCGACAACGCGCACATTGCTCACAGTCACACAACGTTCGATGGCGGGCGTTCACTTTGTTTCGCTTTCAAGTTGTGGCTAGTTGTGGATGGTTGGTAAGTTGACTAAACTTGGCAATCCGTGTTCTTCACTTTCTTCTGGCACAAGAACCACTCACTTCACCGTGCTATTCAGACGCGAGTTGCCGAGGATCCTTCGCACGCGTCTCCAATACAAGTTACTGCATCGTTGACTTATGCAGACGCCGTCACCTGACCCGGTACCCAACCGGCACTCCCTTCAATCAGCCAAGCCACCAAATACTACAGGTCACCACTTCCAGCTAATCCGATACAATTTAGTCTTTGGCAACGTCTCCCATGTTGAGAATGGTTGTGAAATGCTCCGTTCCACTTCTGTAAACTTAAAACGGTCGACAAGAAAAAAATATAGTCGAAGGAGAATAATGAATATCGAAACAAGCCGCATTGGCCCGCATCTGACAGGTATTCTTCGGCCAGTACAGCAATTCTAGGCAAATGTTCCGTTAGCAAAAGTCACTCCCATGCCTTGTTTTTTAGCAATCATTACGTTATGCGAAACCGACTGTTGAGAGCGGTCGACAGTCTCACAGTCTAGGCAGTGAAATGCCTGCGAAGCAACGCTCATCAAGTCGCGTTGGCACAGACAACTGCCATTCCGCGCTAGCTCTTGACGATTGCATGCTGAATGTAGACCGGCATGTCGTCCGTCAGTGCTGCCTATCCGCGAGGAACGTCGGAGGTTTCGCTGCGAACGTGAGTCGTGTGGTGCAGGTCGGTGAATCGCGTTCACACAAGCTCATCTTTCAGGGCCACCGGGCCGTAGGAAGCGTTGCTGAAGCGCTTTCCGGTGGCCGAGTAGAGGCGCGTATTTCCCAGCGACGTGGTGGTCGTAGCGAAGCTTCCGCAGCTTCCTCGCTTCGAGTTGGCAACACGGACGTCGCTGAAACGTGACGCGCTTGAGCGACGTCGGCCGCCGCGTTTCAGGGCACGGGCAGTCTTCCAGCGCTCCAGGTGGTGCCGCACAGACTTTCGCACCTGTGCAGTGCCAAGTAACAATACTTCACAAAATTCGAATTGAAAATTCTGCAGTCATGTCAGTAACCTACACGAGAGAGTCATTCCGCAACCATGTGATAGATACACGATAAGTTGAAACATTGATCATACTTCAAGGTATTGTTGCAACAGTACGGCATGCATGTCAAAGTCGAAATAACTTCTATTCAGCGAAATGAAGGTATTCTTAAAGTGTAATAAATAAAGCGAGGAATTTGTCGCGCTGAAACACAAAATGTTCTTGTCTCCCCTGCCGATAAAATAAGGATGAGATTTTATCGATTTTGCTTCTTTTGGTTGACCAAGTTATTCCAGTGTTACCTGTCCGTGTTCCAAGAAAAACATGCGGAAAACTCTTCGCAAGAAGCGTATACTTCTCAAGAAGCGTCCGTTTTCCCAACTAAAGGTCAAAATTGAAGGAGAGATGACTATTAGCAAGTCATTTGTATTGTCTTCTATACTACAATATGATATACTTTTTTTACATATATCAATAGAAAAACTAGATATCTAATCTGACGTTCACTTTGCCGCCTTACGCTTGAAAAAAAGTATAGTAAAAGCTGGTAAATTCGAACTTGGTTAATTCCAAGTTAGAGTTATTTGGAGGTGGCTTCTTGATCCCAATACCATCCTATGTATTTCTATTGGGGGAAACTCGCGATAATTCGAACTAATTGGTATCCGCAATGGTCAATTCGAACAGGCAGCCCCCCGTTGTCGACGCTCCACGGAAAAGCCGGCGCACAATTATCACTCCATGTTGCAATACGATATCAAAATATACTTCCTAGAGATTCAAAACAACAAAACAGCAGAAGTGGGGTATCACTTACAGGTGAACGAATTCTCTTGGTTCTTAAAAGCTCCGCTAACCTAATCAATCAAATCACTTGCCACAATCTTCCATTACCACCTAGTTCACAATGTCGAGTCCACAGGTGGCTTTTTTTGTGTTCTGCTCGAGTAGTTTGACACAATATTTGTGAATTTTAGCGCCAGATTAGTTTAATTCAACAATTATTAGTCCTCCTTGTGTTCGACTTAACGAGTTTTTTTGTACTGAACCTATTCATGAAATAAACTGAAATTGGCGAATTTTACGTTAGTGAGACCCTAATCGTACCAAAGGGCTTATTTTTGATCAATTTGTTGTCATCTGATATGATTCGCTTGTAATTATAGTTCTATAAAGAAGGTTCTTTGAAATCTTCTGAGGCAAGGCCCACATTATATCATTGAGATGGTGCCACTTCCTGGCCATCTAGATAGATGACGTGTAGGCATCTTCCTAGTTGATCTACCGCTCACCTAATCGAAATGCGAGCTGTACATGACCAATGGTAATCTGTCCACAATGCTTGTAGCAGGTGATCGGCACCCTCTAGTTGAACAGAGAGATGGCAGAACAATATGTGGTGCTCCGTCACGACTAGAGCACTTATAGCTTAGCACTTTTTTTTCTTTTTGGTAATGTCATTCGACCAGCAATGGAGTGCAAGAAACAAAAACTCGAGAGGCCTGCGCAGAACGTGCATCACAGTCACAGCGAAACATGGGAATGCGGCCTTTCAGAGACTTTTCTAGGCCCTCTTTGGATAACTGCTACAAACACACTTGCAGTGTACCCACTACACCATATATTGCCATAATTTTTGTGTAGTAGGCAGGAACTCATTGCACCGTTCTTCGGAAAAGTGCGGTACCCTCTAAGCACTTGCAAAATTTTTGTGCACTTTTTCAGTGCTGTGGCTGATGACTTTGAAGGCTTCTGACTGAAGCTTTTTTTTCTTAATGTATATATTAGATCGAGCTCTCTAATTTACTACCTTATTTCAAATCTTTGTCTTATAACCTTTATTACTGTAAAGCTTTATACTGTTCAATAAACCACTCAATCGTTGGGGCCCTTCCAGTTGATCTGCCCCGTACAAAGAAGCTTTTAGTACTGGGTTGGTCTATCGGGTGACCCATGCCTTACGCGATTCGCATTGTGTGAGGCCCAGTTGTTAATTTACTGTTGAAAAGCGCTTTAATAACCATACTAACGCGATTCCTTTCCTGACATCAAGACTGCGTAAGGCCAGATTGGAACGGAGTTTCAGGCACCGGCGTAGCTCGGTGTTCAATAAGTAATAAAAAAACATCGTAGCTCTGTGGTAGAATACCCGGCTGGCACGCACATGACCCATGTCTGAATCTTCGTGTCTCCTTGTGTTTTCTATTTACTTAGGTTTTTTTTCTTATTTAGCTTCATAGTGGTTACGGAAACCGGTGGCGGCGGACAACCCTGGCTCATGCGACCCTTGTTGTAATCTCATAACATCTTTCACTATAAAGGGGCCATGATAAGTGTAGCTGACTAGGATAGAGTACTTGCTTGCGTACACAGCGTGCGGAAAAGAAAACGAAACAATGTTGACTGCTTCTTTACCGGCAACTTTTATCATGCGCTACGTGTTCTTGATGTTTACGCTGAAAGGTAGTAAATTTTGTTTATATTGAATATTTCAAGAAATCTATACTCACCTCGCCATTCAGGAAGCAGTAGAGTACAGCGACGTTGAAACCCTGCGTATGAACGGCATACCATTACACACAAATATATACGAGGGCAGATACCAAGGTGCTTGTTATCTTTATTGTATTGCATTTTCTGACGACATCTCAGAGTCAGTAGTGCCCTGGTCGTGTTAGCGCTAACTTTCTTGTAGATTAGTGCTAATTAGACGGATAAATTCAGTCTGGTAGATTGTTAGAGACAAGGAAAGGTAAGGAGTTACATTATTAAAGTATGAACCATCGCCCCGAAGGGAATCATAATGGGATGCGAAGCAGCAGAGGGGCGCATGCCTTTGACCCGGCTGAAACAAATTGACGTCGACGAGGGTGCTGGAAGAATGGTTTAAAGCAAACCTAGGTGTAGCCTGTACTCGAGTAAACATTTCTGTGAAACGCTAAGACACCGGAGGCGGATTATGTTTCATTTAAGTTTCATGGCAGATAAACGAGTGGAAAGAGTGGTTCCACTCGATTTGCGCTCGAACATTGCGAGCGGTGGAGAGGGTGAGGCGAGCTAGATTACATGCGGCAAGCGGCTACAGGTTTGGGAGAGAGTGAAGTCAACGTGCGCGCATTGCGAGGGAAGGCATGACCTACTTGGTACCGCGCTAGCACCTGCGGCCACGGGAATGCGGTGTCGATGGAGGGACAGTGTTACATGAATTATTGAAAGAGCTGCTTCTCATATAATATGAGACAAACGACAGAATTCACCAACAATGTGCGTTCTTCGTAAGCCTGTCGACAGGCAAGCATACAACACAAAGTCAAGGAACAACACATTTTCCCAAAGGTTTTAACTTGTTTGGTTCAGTCGTGCACTCGATTGCAGAAACACGATTTTCACACAAACATAACATGGGAATCATGTATTATTAAGAAATAACTGATAACGGTCCCAAAGAAACGATAGGAGACGTTATTTGTAGCAATTATAACATGGATGTGAAGAAATAAAAGTGCACGAAAAGATAACTTGCCGCTAGCAAGAACCAAACTTGTGACCTTCGAATAACACATCCGATGCTCTACGAACTAAGCTACGTCGGCGGGCAATATCCCGTTCACCTGTATGTGGCACGTGTGTGCCTTTAAACCTGGAAGCGTTAGTCAGCGCCACTAGTAGCTATCAGGGTGAGTGTGGAAGACTATTTTTCTGCCTGTTGGTGTCATCCAGCACCGGGTTTTATTATGAGCTGTCAGTTGACTAATGTTTCCTCACGTACTATTGAACGCATCAACTCTGCAAGAATCAGATCCTCACTATGAAAGGAAAAAGTAAATGCCAAGTTTGAGAGGTTCATTTCGCTAAGTGAGACACAATTTTATTAATAACTAACGGATAATGATGGCAAGCAATGTATAGGAGATCCTACTAAGGATAAATTTAATGTAAATGGCGAGAAATAAATTAGGATAAAAGTTTGCTTTTCATTTATTTTTTCTCAATTAATTTTCTTCCCGGTTTCTGCACAGGTAAATTTTGTTATCAACCTCGACCATGGACAGGGCTGTGCGTACTTTCTTCGAATAAAAGTGTACTGCGGATACATTCACACAATGACATCTTTGATAATGTGACCGCATTTAAAAAGTCCACACACGGATAGCCTCACCTGTGTGGACAGCAGTGTAATCTGCAGATAGGTGAATATTATTCTGGCCGTTTTGTGCGTAGGTGTCCAAATAACGAGAATGTAGGTGACACCGAGAAGTGGCAAAAGGACCAGTAGAGCTTTGGCCGCCTTCCTGCATTCGAGTAATAGAAGGAAAAACAAAACCAAGCACAAAAACCATGACGCCAGCTTACAGACATCATCACCAAAACGTCGACGACAACGTAAATTATATCCTTCAATACTTGATGCTCGTACATTTATTTTATGTTTCCAGTGCAATAGCGTATGCGTAAACTACGACACCTGCAGAGACCTTTTGGCATATTGCAAAGCCCAGGATGGAGTTAGTGTAGAAAGCTCAGCCGCTAAAGAATTCTCAGTTCCACTGACCGACAAACCTTCGGATGAAAAGGCACGACAAACTTGTCGAATTTTCCCTGTTACTGCACATAAATAATGGGAAGACTTCACTGTTACTATTCAGTATGTAAATACTGATTGGTTTCGGGTATTAAAATAACTCTTTTGAACACTTCTTCAACCAAGCGGGGTAATAAAAAGGAATCACTGAAATACACTGTTGTCACTCATATACACGCCGTCGTTACTCAGATGGCCTGTCAAGAAAACAAATACTACATGACACTGCTAGTTGTACGTTTTCAAAACTTTAGGCAAGACAAAGCTCGTAAAAGGCAATTCTTTGTAGGTTGTTCATCTACTTGGCGTCGCTGGTGTACATACTGGTATACCAACAAACAAGAGGTGGAGAGCGATGGTTACAACACAATGGGCAGTGGTACATACGGCATAATTTTTCTCACATTGCTTAAAGCAAAAAAATTATTCGAAGCAAGCAGCCAATATGAGCATTATTACTTGTCTTGCGAAGCACACATAACTATTCACCTCGTGAAGCATTCTCCGAAGGACTTCCAAACTAAGAGCGAATAACTACATGCGAAAGAGCGGATGCAGTCAGTCGAT